AGCTGCGGAAGGCTGGCCCTGGCTCGCAAAAGAGAGGTCGAACTCGATCCGACTCCCCTACAGGCGAGCCGGAAAAGAAGAAAAATACTACTGCTAATAATAATAATAGTAGTAAAAACATTATTATTAATAATCCTAATAATAATGGCAATAATAACAACAATGCACAGAAAACCGTACCAGACAATCAATGGAAAACGGTTGGAAAAAGCAGAAAGCCCAAGCCAGGGCCAGCGCCAGGTGAACCCTTGGTCAATAAGGGCGAGGCGACCAGCCGCAAAAAAAAGAAGAGGGTGAGAAAAAAGAAGAGTCTCGCCAAATTAATAATTAAGCCAGCTGAAGGCAAAACCTATGCAGAGGTGCTGGGAACGATACGCGGTAAGCTCCAACCCGAGAAGACGGAGACCGTAATTCGATCTGTTCGGAAAACCCGCGAAGGCGGCGTGCTCATCGAAATGGAGCGCTGTGGCAACCACACAGCATTTAAGGAAAATGTGTGCACTGCCATTGGCCAGCTTGGAGACGCCCGTATTCTCACTAGACGTTTACGTCTAGAAGTTCTGGGCATGGACTGCCTAACCACGGCCCCAGAAGTGGAGAACGCTATACGCGGGGAGTTAGGAGACAAGATGAATGGCCAACTTCGCGTCTCTCTCCTCGCTGTAAACTCGCGAGAACAAAGAATGGCCGTGGTGGAAATCGATGAACTGCCAGGCCGGACTCTTATTGAAAAGGGGAAGCTGCGAGTAGGTTGGATTATCTGCCGCGTCCGAGAGCGCGCGGATGTCCAAAGGTGTTTCCGCTGTCTGGGGTATGGCCACAAAAAGGCGGCATGCAAAGGCCCAGACAGAAGCAGTTCATGCTGGAAATGTGGTCAGCAGGGCCACATAGCCTCTGCGTGTAAAGAAAGCCCAAGCTGCTACCTGTGCTCGGCAGGAGATGGACAGAAAAATTCCCATCACCTGCCCGGGTCGGGAGCGTGCAAGGCCTTCAGGGATGCCCTTGCTGAGGCTAAGACAAAGCTTGGGAGAATATGATTAAATTTATACAAGGCAATATGAACAGGAGTAGGGTAGCTGATGACCTGCTGGACCAATTGGTTCTTGAACAAAGAGCAGACGCTGTCATCATCAGTGAACCCTATAGAACAAAAGAAACCTGGCATGTTGACCAATCAGGCTCGGCCGCGATATGGATTGCTAACCCCAACCATCGCGCAGAGAGCAGCGGGGTAGGACGCTGCTACGTCTGGGTTAAAATGGCGCAAATCACTGTGGTGAGCTGCTACCTGTCTCCAAACGACACAGTCCCTGTCTTCAGGGGAAAGCTCGAAGACCTTGAAGACGAATTGCGCGATATAACCGGCCACATAATTGTTGCTGGAGATTTCAACGCAAGAGGCGTGGAATGGGGTATGCCCCAAACAAACACCAGGGGAAGACTGGTCCTTGAAATGGCAGCCCGCATTGGCCTGACCATCTCAACACCGGATCCGACCCCTACATATCGAAGGCCGGGTTTTGGATACTCTATCCCCGACATAACCCTGGTCTCAGAAAGCCTTCTCCGAAGGGCTGACGGATGGAGAGTGATGGAAGACCTGAGTGGTAGCGACCACAACTACATCACCTTCCAAGTCACTGACATCACGCGAGGGCAAACACGTAGTATCCCTCGCAGGAAACCAGGATGGAACCCGTCTAGGGTCGATGTTCGCAAGTTCGATACGTCACTCCTAGCAGATTCCCAAGGCATTTCACCCACAACGGGAGAGATCCACAACAGGGAGTCTTGTACTAAGCTGGTCGAAGAAACTATGCGCTGCATTCACCGGGCATGCAAAGCCTCAATGCCACAGAGGAGAGCATGGTCAGGTAAAAAGCAAGTATATTGGTGGCATGACCGAATTGCAGAGCTGCGAAGGGCCCGCCATAGAATGCGGAGACTCGCAACGCGCGCTCNAAACGGAACTGCTGGAAAGCGCTATGTGACGAAGTGGATCGCGATCCCTGGGGCCAGGGATACAAAATAGTGATGAAAAAGTTCCATACATCATCACAGGCGATGGATGAGGCCCGAGTTAAGAATATAGTGGATGCGCTATTTCCCACACACCCACTAAGAGCCGACACAGTGTTCGTCGAGGAGCAAGCCGAGGCACCACTGTTTTCGACAGACGAGCTGAAGCTAGCCCTGCGAAGCATGAAAGCCGGCAAGGCTGCAGGCCCAGATAGCATACCAGCGGAGGCAATCAGGTTAGCAGCGAAAACGAGCCCTGGTCTCCTGCTTAACATGTACAACAGCTGCCTTAGGGCCCGGGTCTTCCCAAGCCAATGGAAGAAGGCGAGACTGGTGCTTATACCCAAGGGCAAAGGGGACCCAAACTCTCCTTCATCCTTCCGGCCACTCTGCATGCTAGACACAGCAGGCAAAATGATGGAGAGTCTGCTCAAAATACGCTTGACGTCAGCCATAGAAAGCGAGGGAGGCCTTTCACCCCGACAACATGGCTTCAGGAAGGGACACTCAACTATAGGAGCAATTGGCGAAGTAGTCGAGGCGGTACATAAGGCCGAAGAAGCCTGCCACCAGGCGCGGCCACCAGGCGCGGCCAATAGACTGGACGTCAAGAACGCCTTCAACTCGGCAAGATGGGACGATATGCTGGAGGCCTTGGAACGGTCATTCAAGGTTCCAACATACTTGCTAGATATGATCCGGGACTACCTCAGAGACCGTTGGCTTTTGTACGACACAACACAAGGTCAGAGAAAGAGACGTATAACCGGCGGAGCGGCACAGGGGTCTGTACTTGGCCCGGACCTCTGGAACGCCACGTATGACAGTCTGTTGCGCACGGAAATGCCGGAGAGCGCCTTCCTTGTCGCCTTCGCGGACGACGTGGCAGCCGTCATAACAGCAAGAAATGTCCAGCTAGCACAGCTCAAGCTAAACCAGGTCATGCGCAACGTCAGTGGATGGATGAGCGATCACGGTCTGCAATTGGCTACAGCCAAAACGGAGATCGTGCTCCTCACCAGGAAACGGATCCCAACAATTATAAATAT